GTCGCTTTCCGTCTCCCAGATCAAATCAATCAATATTGTTTAAAAACAGTTAACAAATGTACAATATGTATGGGAAGTTAGAATATTGACAAAAAGAGAAAGAAATGAAAAGTAATGAGAAAAAAAATATGACCAAAGAAAAGAAAAGAAAAGAAAAGAGAAAAATATAGCGTATTAGATTTTCATGCTATTGGTTTACGAACAATGACATATTAAGGAATCATAACAACAGTATTATATTCTCTGTCTTATTAAATATCAAAATTCCCTGCATTGCAGTTCTAAACAATTTACCCTCTTAATAATAACTAAAATTGACCCCCCGGACCCCCCCCCCCCCCCCCCCAAAAAAAAAACAAACAAACAAACAAAAAACAAAAACAAAAAAAACAAAAACAAAAAACAAAAACAAAAAAAACAAAAACAAAAACAAAAAAAGCAAAAACAAAACAAAACAAAACAAACAAAACAATAAAACAAACAAAAAAAAAAAAACCAAAATCGCCGACATAATTATTCAAAGGAATATTTCATTTACAAAATAAGATTTAATCCTTGAAATGAGATATTAAAAAGTACTTACATATTTATCTGTTCCAGTTCTAGGTCCAAAATCAGTACTTTCTATTGAGCAACACTTTTATTAACTGATGTAGTGCTTTCATGGATGTTCAATAACTCAAAAACTTTAACTTAAAAACTATGTGCAAATTGTTTTTTATAAGTAGGTTAAACGCCTACATTGAGGAAACATTAGTGATGTTTAATGAAAATATTTCTTATAGGTGCTTCTTTTAAAGAAAAAATATTATTGATGGTCAAGTTATAGATAACACCTCTTCATTTTGAAGGAGAAAATGCACTTGGTGGACCGTTTTATAACCGAATCGTTACAAAATCAAAGGGTATTTTCAATTTTTTGTAGCTACGCGTAAAGACACCAAAACCATTATGGTCGTCATAGATCCTAGTTTCAAGTCATTCATTTGTCCTAAATTGTCGAATGCATTTCCAATCTATAGTTGATTTTTTTTTTTGCATTTCTGTTCATCGTCCAGTGGCAAATGTTACATATGTATAAATTGAAAAAAATATATGGGGAGAACACAAACTGAGGGATCAAAAGAACTAGTGTGTTGCTCGTCTGGATCTATCTGCATCTTTTTACAATGACCATTCTCTTGCATTATAGACGAGAACGTTATTCATGACTAAAATGTATTTTTTGTTACTCTTGTAATGCTGATCATTTTTGCTGTTTCGAGTTTCTATCTATCTATTACAGTTTATGGACAAAACGGGCTATTACAACTATGTTCACCGATTTGTAGATCATGTCTCGCTGATATTTTTTTGTTGTCAAACTATCTCTTTATCTATTACTGTTTTCAGGATTTTACCCCAAAATCCCAAAAATCGTAAAATTAAATATTCAAGGACAATAACTCCTATAAAGGGTCGACCTACAATTTTTGCCATTTGACTTATTTATAATAAATATTGTTTTGCTGATTTTTTTTGCTATTTGAAATGTTTTTTTATCTATTTAAGTCTTGAAAATAAAGGATGAAACAAAACAAAAATGGCAATAAACATAATTCAAGGGCAATAACTCCCATAGGGAGTTGTCTGACAATTTTGGGCAAAATAGACACAAGCATAACAGTTTTGTTTCTGTCAGATTTTCTCTATCAAATCGGTTTTCAAATTAATAGACAATACTTGCATTTAACCCATATAATCTTTTTTTTTTGCCGTAGCGACCGTGCTTGTTGGCAGGCGAGATCATTTACACATATTTTAAAACTATTCACCCAAATGATGGTTGTGATCAAGTTTGATTCCAATTCGGCAATGTTGTTTCAAATGAGAAGTAAAGGTTAACGGATGATGACGACAAACGATGACGACGGACGACGACGACAAACAACAACGACAGACGTCAGACGTCAATCCTAACGGATTAAAATAGCTAACTTGACCCTTTAGGTCAGCCGATGCTAAACCAGGAAAAATAGGGCAAAGATAATTAAAAAAGCAGATTGGTAATTTTGGAGCAGCAACTAATCTAGAAACTGCCCGTTTCAAGTGTTCAAATTTCCAGTGCATTGTTCTTTGACCACGAAAGATCGGACAGCCCCGATCTACCGAAACCCCACTAGTAAGATACTTCATTGATCCGACCCCACATTAATCCGACACCCCATCTATCTTACCTCCTATACATTTCTAGGAATATGATTGGTTAAAAGCAACCGCGTGGAGACCGTGTATATTTCATATTAGGTTAATAGGCGGGGTTTATTTCAAAACACGGTTAGTAGTGGTGTTACGTCCCTTTATAAAAACAACACGGTGTTAAAGAAAAATCTGAACGGTTTCAACAGACGGAGAAATTGATGATAAACGATTGAAACAAATTCATAAAACATATTTAAAGGTAGCAAGTTGTTATTGTTGGCATTTGTTTTTGTATAGACAAATGGAAGCAGGTTCTTAATACTAAGTATTGAAGACTTAATCACTTTGATAGGCCACAGGTCTAAATACCACATGTTAAAATAGTCGGTAAGATAAATTCGTTACACAGTGTGCTAGTGACCTAATACGATATATATGGGGTCAGTAAATTCCATATGGGGATTCGAGCTTCGCTCTCACCACATATGGAATTTACTGACCCCATATATATCGTATTAGGTCACTAGCACACTATGTAACTAATAATATCAGACACTCTATTAGAACACCTTCCTCTAGTTCGACACACTCAATTGTCCGACACTGGAATATTTAGATAATAGTTAATATCTTGTTATATCAGTAAGCCGACTTACAAAGTGTTCTTTCAGTATTAAACAATAGATTAAGTGCGTTTAAATTGACACATAAGGTTCTGTTCATCACAGGTATGCAAGTTATTTCGTCCTTTATGAAATGGCAAAATCAAAAGCTCAAACACATCAAACGAATGGAAAACAAATGTCATATTCCTGACTCGGTACAGTCATTTCCTTATGTAGAAAATGGTGGATTAAACCTGTTTTTATAGCTAGTTAAACCTCTCACTTGTATGACAGTCGCATGAAACTATGCTTGAATAACACTAATTTTCTTTCATGGTAACACGAGATTTTGCAGTTTGAATCGTATTGAAGACTTTCATGACTTTACAAATTTCTTTTTTATGTGGTACTTTTGTCACATCGACCAAACATGTAATAATACAATGTTCTCAATTTCCTACTAGGGACGTCGACAGGGTCTTGGTATTTCTTAGATACCCAATATGCAGTATATATATGTCATTATCCATTGCTTAAATACATTCAAAATAATTATTGATTGAATGGTAAAATTGAGAATGGAAATGGGAAATGTGTCAAAGAGACAACAACCCGACCATAGAGCAGACAACAGCCGAAGGCCACCAATGGGTCTTCAATGCAGCGAGAAACTCCCGCACCCGTAGTTGTTTTGTTTTAGTTGCTTTACGTCCAGTGGAAAATATTTCACTCATTTCTAGGAAAGAAAATATTAACAATTCATACATATGTAGGTCTGATAAGTAGGTTAAACGAGATGAAAGACGGACAAGTTGGACTACCACTGGAAATGAGGGCAAGTTGAATATACAGGGGAGGAAATTTGCAGAGAGCGTGGCATTTAACCATTACGATGAATCGTATTGAACTTCCCCGTTCAGCGACGTTTATTTCTTTTTATGGTTTGCTTGTTTCCATTCATTTACCAGTACGTTGTCACGTATAATCCTTATAATTCTTTAAAATTTGGGATAATTAATTTAATTTCCCCACCCATAACCTCTATCACACGTAAATTGTATATTTGTGTCATTGAATTGGCCTGGCGCATGAACATTTTTTGGTTAATGCAAAAAAAAAAGTATTCCATGAAATTTGCTTTCTGATAAAAAATAAACTACAAAAATATCTTATTATCATTCAAATGAATGTTTTGTGTTTATTTTGTAATTTAACGACGAAAGCGAAGTGAAAATAAATATTTTTAACGTCGAGCTGGTTTGTGTTCAACGTTACCATCGCTGCCATCTTGTTTACATTGGTTACAAAAAGTAGTTCCGTCATCGTCTATCGAAAAAACAAATAACTTCAAGAGCAACTACCGGAAGCCGTCTCGACCAATCTTATAAACGTATTCCTCAATATGCAAATAATATAAGAATTATACCAAATTATACATACGAAAATTGAGAAGAATACATTTTAAAAAGAAATACACCAATCAGAATATTCTGTCAACCTTTTTTTATTTTATCTTGGCTGATCATACGTAGTATTGGTTGACGTTAATGGAAATATTTACATGCATTATATAGGCTAATTTTTTACTCAGCATTGTTACATAAACTACAATATAGGAGGATCTGGATTAGGGGGGGGGGGGGGGCTCCTTCATTTCTGACCTTTTCTTTTATTTTTTAGGTAATTTTTCTGTATTCTTTATATTATTGGCCATTATTTTCCATCTATATATTTTAGCATTCCATTATTCTCTATTCATTGTTTTTTTGTCTTATTTTTCTCTATGCTTTATTTTTGTTTGCCATTTATTCAGCACATTTTCCCCTTTATACTCCATTCTGTAAACCCCATCCACACCCTCATATAGAGAGGTACTCTAAGTCAATTTTTTTTCTTTTACTTTTTTTTTACTTTTTGACACTCTCATGACATTGTCCTATGACATACTTTACTCATGAACTTTAAAGAGAACTCATACTCATATATTATATGCCAGCAATAATAAGCTGTTAATGCAGTAAGAACTAATCGTAGATTACTTTCACTTTCAACCTGAAAAAATGTACTATTTTTTTTATCGTGTAAAGACTTATTTTTAACCACTTCTGTAAGGGTTACCTCTAGCATCTTTCAGCGGAACTATTATCCTTGTGCCATACAGATACAATCACAAACTTGAACGTGATTGAACAAACATTCATTCTCTTGACGTACCTGAAGGACCCATATATCCATTATTTAATTGATGCAAGTACTTGTTCATTACTGTATCCTACGCAAATATAACATAGAAGATTCTGAAGTGTTGTTATCTTTTAGTTCGATTGGTCTCTAATATAACGTCTCTCGCATGAAGTCAAAGTAAGGCGAGGTGACGTCAAGCTGATTTTTCCAAGGCAAATGAAATGTAATCACATGATAGTAGCGACTCTCATGTAACAGGGAATATGGAAATAAAGTGCAATAATCTTTGTTATAGTCATTGAAGTAAAATACTGCGTTCAGTCATCTATCATTATGTTTACGTCACAGTTCATTTTGTGTTCTTCTCAATAGATATTCCGACAATCTACATCTATTGTATATTTAGAATACATGTTTATGTTTGAATTCCCGTTTATGACAGCAGTAAATTTTTAATAGTAATTTTAATATACTTCCCGTTTTTTTATGTTTAAAAATTCTGCTAAAAATAGAATCAAGTAACTTAACTGGTACAATAAATAGCTTATATGACAAATTAATTGTATGTTTTATATATAGATTAGGCAAAATGCAAATTTGAGATATATATATAGATATAGATATAGATATAAATAAAACTCATGCTTACCGTCCTTCTATCTTTATCAAGACGACCCGGAAATAATAACAAAAGGTGAAACTATCCCATTACTATTTCCTTTGGACGCTATATTATGGGTCAAACTATATTTTCGCAGAAAACACGACACAACTATAATTAAAACTTTTCTTGGAAATGTTTGAAACCGAGAATGCTCTTTTTTCTGGGTACAGATATTGCGTGTTTGTGGATGATTTACATCAGTCATAATAGAGACCAGTTTTTTTGTAAGGATAACATGTAAAACGTTAAAATGGTCTTTGTCTAAAATTATCTTTACAAAAGCTTTACGTGAATGGAGACGTTAATATTGCAGCTTTATAAAAATATGAATATGTGGTATGTCAATGAGACAACTCTCCACCAGAGACTAAATGACGTAGAAGTTTCTTACATTTTTTAGTCAGTCAATCTACAAAAAATTAATTGTACAAATAATATGCACTTGGTCTTTAAATATGTCAAGTATCAAGTGTGTAGGAATAATATTTTTTTTTTATATAAATCATGAATTGGTCGTTTTTTTCCCAGTACAGACCAGGTTATGTTGAGGTGAACATATATGCAATCAAATCTGTATAGTCAATATCACAAGTCGATCAATTTTAGACAGATTTTAGTTATAATATACAAGTTTTGAGAACAAACGTTGTTCCTAACGATATATTCAACGTAAAATTCAACTTTTCGTATCGTCAAGTTTTTCAGTTCTATAAGTACATTTAAAATTTCTGAGTTTTTTTTTCAAACATGGTCTTGGTTTTCAAAGCAAATATAAAAAAAGAAAGATGGCATTCTAAGCCTTGAAAAAGGAATTTATTTATCTAATTACTGTAATTAAGTGAAGGACAAATAACATATATTTATAAATGTACAACAGGAGCGAGACATCAGACGACACTTTTTGTATCTAAAGAGCTAAAACCGTGAAACCAGGTCTCTATTGAGTTGCAACACAGACATATCGTATCAGTGGCTACTAATGAAACCATGGGTGGTGGTGGGGGGTGTCTCTTCCTATATGAAGATATACACAGACATGCCGCTGGAATAGGTATCCTTTTAATATGTCAAATATATCAATGGGTCGAATTTAAATAACTAAAGGTAATATGCTAATGGGTCAGTAATTTTCAACTTGCGATTAGACTGTGCACTATTCCTTACATATAATTGATATATTATTGACCCCATTTGTAAACATCTTAATTTATCTGCTGAAACTTTAATTGACACAAAATAAATGGTTATTCCAAATCAAATTAAAACATTCAATACAGATATGTGATAACCTAGAAATATATGTATGGGTTATAATTTTGGCACGTCTGCACCACATTTTTGAGGTTATTTTGAATAGACAGAAAAAATATTACAGTCATTACTTATAATTTAATTCAGCCAATCAGAAGACGTGTTACATCATAAATTAAGTTATTGAACGATAACAATGATTGTTATCGTTTAACAAACAAGTAAATGAAAACATTTAGTGTGTGTATTCTATGAATTTAAAGACAACATCCATACTCTATGTGACACAAAACAACCTATAAAAATGGACGAAACTTTTTCTATGAAATGTGTAAATACAGCATGTTTGATACATTTCAAAGCATTTACATTGTGTTAGATTTGTCTTTGTGTTTTGAAAAGTACTTTTTTTTTAAAATTACTCATCAAACGTATATGCATAGATAGATCAAATTTTATCCTACAGGAATTCTGGGATTCTTGACCGCAACTCTTTAAAACATGGACGTTTGTATGAATATATTTTGGATATTGATACAGATATAAATAAAACATGTCCTTCAATTTTTGCTTTCGTATAATTATACTTCAGGGCTTTATTCTATATTTTAGAATTACAATATTCTTAAAGTAAATTTAACGTTTATAACTTAATAAACTGTTTAATGATTCCAACAACTTTTATCACAAATACTAAGTCACCTTGTATATTTATTTCAATCTTCGGTTTCACATTTTGCAACAAAAAGAAGTCTGTTTATTTACATTTTACATCTTGATTACGTTTAAAAACATGGTCATAAAAAACACAACGCAACCCAAACTATTTAAAATAAGGAAGTCATAGATCTAATGACGTGATGTTAGAACTACATATACTGTTGAATGGTGAATTGAAGCAAGAAAGAAAAGAAAAAGAATAAGAAGTCGAACAATTATACCAATAATTTGTAACCTTCAATATGAACACGAGCCCCAAAATGTTTTTAAAAGAATTAAAAAAAAAGAAGAAAAAAATGAATTCTTTCATGTTTTTGCTAACGTCCCGTATCTGTATAATTTAAAGAAGGTTGACCTTTAAATTCAATTGATTTCTAACAATTTGCTAATATCCCTGTCAAGGTTTTTAATATTATTCATGAGAAATTCAATACTGAAATCCCGGCAGTTTCGTGTTCCTGTTAATAACTATTGTATCATTTTTCTAATTTTATCAAGTTTATTCGAATTTGAAATTTGAAAAGTATAATTCAAAAGGTTTCACATTAAATATAAAATTTTGAGGATTTTACGAATCGACAAAACTATTCGGTCCATACAATGTACAAAGTCCCTAAATGATACAATTCTATTGACGGCTTTATTGTAAATATATAAAGCAAATAGCTTAAACTTTCATTATTGCTTTCTTTCTTTAAGTAGGTTGGGCAGAAATTTAGGTGGCATTCTAGTTCTGTCTTCTTAATGTAAACAAAGGAGTTGCAACCTTAATTTTAGTTCAATTTCATATTAAATATAGACTGGAAATTTGGATTGCACCAATGGTATCGTCTCCCTAAACTATCTACAAAACATTGCCACAATTATTTATTTGATATTTAGTGTTTACGAATAATATCAATTATGTCCTGTGAAATACTTATATTTTAGTTATTACAAGAGATAGAAAGGTTCGATACAAATCACAAAAACAATTAACAAAAACACTTAAGTCGCAAAGTACCGATCTGAGAATACTTGCATAGAATTGTTACAGAAGTACCAATCTATTGTTTAAGGTGGTACCCAACACCTTGCCTAATATTAATTTGGCTCGTTTAATTTTCATAAAATTTTGACAAAATGTTAACTTTGACCCTTTGACAAAAATATAAAAATTTCAAAAAATTTGAACCAACCACTTTATCAGAAAAATTTCATTGGTTATATAGCAGTTTGACAAACACTAATTTTGATCATTGAGAAGCTTAATATTTCCTTTACAATACAACGTTATTAAAACGTTTAGCTGATTTTTACAGAGTTATCTCCCTGTAGTGTTAGGTACCACCTTAACCAATTCGTTTCAATTGAATACAGTTTTAGTATCAATCAATCAATGAGTTGATTATATTGCTATCGTTTAAGACTTGATAAATTCAATCAACTGTAAATTCTTGTTTCTACAATAACAATCGTTCAGAATTGATAAATAATTCAATAAATCATCTTATCTGGTTTTCAAGGTTAACGATCAAATCAATCGAGTTCAATCATAACGATTGTTTTAGGGTTGATATTTCAATCAACTGTCTCGTCTGGATTTCAAGGGTCAAGATCGAATCAATCAAAATTCAATCTTTATGATTGTTTGAGAGTTGATCAATTCAATCAAGAGAGAGGCGAAAGATACCAAAGGGATCATATTCAAACTCATAAGTCAAAAATAAACTGACAACGCCATGGCTACAAATAAAAAAGACCAACAGACAAACAACAGTACACAAAAACTAAAGACTGAGCAACACGAACCCCACCAAAAACTGGTAGTGATCACAGGTGCTACGGAAGGGTAAGCAGATCCTACTCCACATGTGGCACCCGTTGTGTTACTCGTGTAAGTACAAAACTAGTCATAAGTCTAATTCAGTTGGTCACATTTGGGGAAAACTGGACGGAATTTTACTTATAATTGGAACATATCCGTCGTCATCTGTGAAACAGATATTCCATAACGGTCAACCAACTCGTGATGGCGTCCGTAAAATATACAAAGGAATGATGTCAACTTGACCACTCGGAACTCTTGGTTTAATATCTCCCTTGTGAGCAGCAACCCTATATCAAGGAAATCATGATAGGAAATACAAGCCCTGGAATATCGTATCAGCTGAGAGATATATACTCCTTATGTAGGCGCTGCTGGAATGTTGCTACATAGAAAATAGAAAGTTCACAATTGGGAATCTGAAATCATCTCTTTTGCAGTTGTTATCAAATAGTCCGTTTCTATGTATGTTGGCGTTTATTTTTGTAGCAGTTCAGTGTTTAAGTTGTTCCGTTGTTTTCCACTTATTGTTGATGTGTTTCCCTCTGTTTTGAGTTGTGACCCGAATTTGTTTCAGTAAAATCGATTTATGACTATTGAACAGCGATATACTATTGTTGCCTTTATTTGTCGTTACGTTTTGTTTTCAACCGACCCTCCCTCAATGTCAATTTCTAGATGTAAGTTAAGAAATGAGACAGACTTAACTGTATCTGTTGTATCCTTTATCTCAAGTTCGATAGGATAGATGGGTTCAACATGGTCACCAAGTTTTGAACTATTTAGTGAAAGAACATCATCTATATAGCGAAAATGAAGTTACGGGTACTGCTAACTTTTTTCTTTCTTCATAAGAAGTTCCTGTATGAGGTCAGGCTTATGTGAATCAAGGAACTATTCGGCAAGAAGAGGAGCACAGTTGTCTCCAATGGGAATGCCGATTGTTTGTTGAAAAAACGCGTCCTCCAAACGTAACAAAAATGTTGTCAAGCAATAAATCAAGCATCTTGATTATAGTTCGACTTTGAATACTGATAAAATTGATGTAAAAAATTTAGAAGAAGGTTTCGCGGAACACTAGGACGACCCAGCATTATAACGTTCGTAAAGGCACTTAAGTAGTTTAGGTATCCAATACAGTGAAGGATATCTAGTTGTTCATCTTTGGTTGGAATTCCAAATATATATTGTATATTTTGAGTTTCCAAGTGAATTGTCAATACCTAATTCACTGATCAAGATATACACAAAAACGATGTTGTTTGTTGCTTTACCTGCGAGGACAAAAACATATTTGTCATGGAGGTAAGACAGGTGTTTTGCAACATTTGGGTCTTTAAAAGATTGATGTAGCATTTGTATTCACTGATCCATTCAGTTTTCAAATTCTGATTAGTATCAACAACATCACAGCCTTAATCTATTCACAAAGAGTATCTATCTACCTCTTCTTTCTCGTGTTTAAACCACTGCCTGATATAATCCTCGACTGAATACATCAGTATTTTGAGTTTGTGTTTCCAATTGATGGATATAGGCTCACGATATTTCGGGCCTTTGGATATCACATTTTGATCAGTCGGATTAGATATGAATGGGGAACTAGCATAGGTGCAATCAGGAGGTTTAGACTTGAAGTCGTCAATATTGAGATCCTGCAACACGTGTTTGTAATTGAAAATTGTTAGTAGCAATTTAGGTATAATAAATGATAGGTACAAACTGATATTTAAAATAGGCAGGTATTTTCCAGTGAACTGATTTATGATGAAGGATATTGCACAAGTTGCTGGCTTCGAAACCTTTGTTGGCAAGGGATTGTTTTAGAAAGGATCTTTTCTCCTTTTCATCTTTTCCAATGCGAACTGGTTTGAAAATTCTGTGACTGACAATATACGAGGTGATAGCTGTAAGATTGTATTGGTTTGAATGGGGGTATGTAACAGTCAACTGTCTCTTCTCGTTTTCATAATTCACGATCTTATCGATCGTATTCAATAGTTACCTTCGTTCAAGAGTTGACCAATTAAACGATAGATTCTAGTGTTCAATCGTATCGAATGTAAAAATCTAGTGTTTGTATTTTTATTATTGAGTTGATGTTTGGTAATCAATCTTGATCAATCGTATATATCGTAATGATTGAGTGTTGGCACATTTTACTGAATTGAGTGAATTGACAGCTGGTAATCAATTGTGATCAATCGTATCAATCATAACAATAGAGGTCCTGTAACATTTTCTTGAGTTGATTTAGCTGAAATTTGTTGTTCAATCAATGTCAATGTTATCAAATGTTATGATAGAGTATTTTGAATGTATTGACAATTGATGTTCAATAATTCCAATTGATGCTATCGTTTGATCAATTTTGACAAACTGTTATTGTATCAACCGATTGTCGAATACTGTACCTTAATAAAAAATATTACTATTATACATCATAGTTTGTCATCATGCACAAGTCAGAAGGAAATAAAAGGAATAAAAGAAACATCAACAAGTAACATGTTTTTCTCAAGCAAACACTTAAAATCTAAATTAATTAATCCTTTATCTTATTTTTCAAATCTGTTGACCTTGTGCCGTCGCATTCGCTGACTTGTGTACATGCACGTTAATACAAACTCAACAATTTGAAAATATACATAAAAGGAAATTAGTTAGGCGTGACAAATTATAAGGGTTAAGCAGTATGCCATAAAAAAACACGTCCTTCTAAAAGGAAGTTCAAAGGATATTTCATTGTTTAACGGGAAGTAGGAATCTGTTGTATTATGTCGAGACAGAAATCCTGCAATACAAAGGAACAACGTATTTATTGGTTATATTCAAACAATGAGATTACTGATTCAAAAAAACAACATTTGTTTACAATGCATTCGAAAATGAAATCAAATTATATATTTTTAACATATTTAGAACGTGTGAATTTATCTTCTTATTCTCAAATATAAATAGCAGTTTTTGTATTTTTTCAAGTGAATTTATATTAGATCTTTATCTCAGAAATGAAAACTCTTATTTCAAGTTAATACCAAATGAAGGGAAAGGTATGAAAAGGCAAATTTTGGTCCCTTGATTTTGATAACTAAGAAGAATTATCTACCAATTAGCATCTTTTAGATTAGACATTAGTCTGTCGGACTACCAATATTTGTATTTTAGAATTTTGTCTTGTATATTTGCATTTAGGGCCTCAAACTTATTGAATTAAGTGCAAAACTGCATAAACTGCTAAATTAGCCTTATTTTGCGATTTTGACATTAATTTTTTTATATGAGCAACAGCTTTACCCGAAAATATATTTTTCTACAGTATGTATTTTACACAGATGTTAATGTTTAAAATATTTGTTTTGGAAGGGCTGTTGCTCATATCGGTTTTTACGAAAACTATATGTAAAAGGGTCATATAAGGTCAAATATTCCAAAAAATGTTTATGCTATCACAAATGACCTTTCTGCACTGAACTGTCTAGATTATATATTAACCTGTTCATTTATCAATACAATTTATATATGATTTTGAAAGGCTCAAGTAATTTTACATTCTTTTTGCAATCTCAAGGACCAAATAATGGCTCTTATCATACATCCTCCTAATGTCAGCGTAAACAGCATTGCGATTAGAAGAAAACAATTAGACTACGACTTAAATATAGAAATAAGAAGATGAGGTATGATTGCCAATGAGACAACTATCCACCAAAGTTCAAATAAAGTTAATTTAAGCAATTATAGGCAACCGAAAGGCCAACATCAATGAGAAAAACCCATACCGTATTTTCGGCTTTAAAAGGCCCCGACATAAAAAATATGAAACATTTCAATTGAGAAAACTGACTAATTTAAAACAATTTACGAAAAACAAATATGACAGACATAAACCAACGACAACCACTGAACTACAGGCTCCTGACTTTGGACAGGCACATAAAGAATGTGGCGGGGTTAAATATGTTTGTGAGCGCTCAACCCTCCCCTAACCTGGGACAGTGGTGTAACAGCACAACATATGAATAACCGATAAAAATCAGTTGAAAAAGGCTTAACTCATCAGATCGATACAAAGCAGAAAAACAGGGTATTTATACATCCCTCATCGCTTACAACGACAAGTATGCTTCCGGATACCAATTTTCTCTTGTTTTTTTTTAGAATAAAATACATTTAGGAATGTTCGTATTGTTTCAAAAATTAAGATTGCAACACATTTACGATTCGCTAACTGGTCCACATGCAATACAATTTGAAAAACTTCACAACAAAAAGTGTTTTAAAACTGTAAAAAAACAATAATAGAACGATACACAGATTGTCCAGTTTTCTATGTAGAGATATCGTAAAATATCAGCCACTCGACACAATGTGAATCTTCTTTTCTTATTCGATGCGCTCACTCTGGCTCGCAGCTGATATCTTATGATATCGATGGGTAAAAACCCGATATTTATTTGTTTTTCGTTCATTATTTTGTACATAAATTAGGCTTTTAGTTTTTTTGTTTGAATTGTTTTACATTTGTCATTTGGGGGCCTTTTATAGCTGACTATGCGGCATGGGCTTTGCTTATTGTTGAAGGCCGTACGGTGACCTATATTTGTTAATTTCTGTGTCATTTGGTCTCTTGTGGAGAGTTGTCTCATTGGCAATTTTACCACATCTTCTTTTTTATACGTATGGTATTATATGTTTCATGCATTTAATTTGACCAAAAAATTAGCAAAGTACAGTTAAAAGAAATTAGGAACACATTATTGATGAACACATTGCGTATGAACACATTGATAACGAACACATGTTTATGAACACATTGATAATGAATACATTGTTTATGAACACATTGATTATGAACACATTGTTTATGAACATATTGATTATGAATACATTGTTTATGAACTCATTAATTATGGTCACATTGTTTTTGAACAAATTGATTATGAACACTTTGTTTATGATCACATCGATTATGAACACATTGTTTATAAACACATTGATTATGAACACACTGTTTATGAACACATTAATTATGAATACATTGTTTATGACCACATTGTTTATGAATGCATCAGTAGATAACAAAACCTATATACATACTAAAGAACATTTTTGTTCGCTATAGAGATTCCGTTTATCGTCAGGTTATCGGGATTCCCATGAGAACTAACTGTGCACCACTTATTGCGGACCTGTTTCTGTATTGTTTTGAGTTACAATTTATGACTAAAATCAACAAAGACACATCGAAACAACATCTGATTCAAAAATTTAATAACTCTTTTAGATATTTAGATGATATATTGGCTCTCAATAATGACGACTTCAGTGTGTACACTTAAGAGATTTCTCCTGCCGAACTGACTTTAAATAAAGCTAATACTAACAATGAACACTGCCCTTTTCTGGATCTTGATATCTATATCTTAAACGGGAAGCTTAATATCAAAATTTATGATATAAGAGACGATTTTTCATTTCCTATGGTTAATTATCCATTTTTAGATGGTGACGTTCCCGTGTCACCATCTTATGGTGTTATATATCAACTTGTTCGATTCGCTCGTGTATGTAACAACGTATTTGATTTCAACGAAAGAAATCCCTGTTTTACTGAAAAAATTATTACACCAGGGTTTTCGATATCACAAACTAGTCAAAACATTTACTAAATTTTTATCATCCGTACAAGGACATCATTCGTAAATATAAATCAACATGCAGACATCTTATACGTTCAGGTATTTCACATCCAATATTTTATGGTAATAAAAATACAAAGCACAAAATTGTCGGCATTCACCTCAAAAGCTAACCAAACCTTTAAACAGACTTATTCGGAAGGGATATAGTTACGATACTGTTGTCAGATCATTAAGGATTGCATATTTTGGTATTAATATTGATTCACTCATATGGTCTTTGCATCGGAAATAAACACATTTATTCTAAACATAGTTGTTGGCATGATACGGGTTATGTTCTTCTCATATATTTTATAATGATATGATACTATACCCCTAACGGGAGGTATTGTACCTGATTTTCATATGATGAATACATAATCTTTCAATCAGTTTAATTGAGGTCTGGAGCTGGCATGTCAGTAACTGCTAGTAGTCCTTTGTTAATTTATGTTTCATTGTCATTTTGCTTAGTTTCTTTTGTTACCTATTTTGACATCGGACTCGGACTTCTTTTAAACTAGTTTTACTATGCGTATCGCTATGTGTTTCTTTATTCTACATTGGCTAGAGGTATAGGGGGAGGGTTGAAATCTCTGATAACCACCTCCGGGTGCGGGATTTTCTCGCTGCGTTGAAGACCCATTGGTGGCCTTCGGCTGTTATCTGCTCTTTGGTCGGGTTGTTGTCTCTTTGACATATTCCCCATTTCCATTCTCAATTTCATTTTATACAGTTCTTACATAATAATAAATATTGCACGGTCTACATTTCAAACACAATTTTGTATGGTTACTTGTAAATTATTTACTTTACATGTAACCACATCCTTTGTTTGGAATCTCAAACGAATCATTTCAATACAGAATAGAAGCACGCGTTTGGTATGCACGATCAAAATCATACATTTTATTCGACTTAATCTGAGTTCAAAGTGGATGATAGTAATCAGATAAAACTGCCATAAATGAACACTGAAGAATACTATAGCTATTGGCTCTGTGTCCTCTCCTTATGATATCTTCTTGGTATATCTATTTGTTTCTTTTTATATACCTGGATGTTTGTATGTTAAAGACACTCCACTGTCAATGCTATTTTGACCACAATGTTTCATTTCTGTTTCTGATTGATCGTTCATGCTATTAAAAGTGTTCATATTAATACCTTTGATTTCAAAAACATAGTTTTCCAGATTACTGAGTATCGTCTCATTAGTGTCACTTCTACTGCTTAGTGCTGGAATAAAAAAAAACTCCATTTACAATCTAATGATACTAAAATTGTTATATTGTTATGTTTCAGGTTGTCTCCTTCAACAAAAACTGCTCCAACAAAGTAATGAGGACGAACGACTGAGATCGACACTATGTAAATGTTTTACAGTCAATATTACGGATTGAATGACCGATAAGACATGTTAGTGATACACCTCACCTCACTTTGCGACATGTTTTCGAAGTCTAGAAATAGTCATCTAATCTTAAATTTTACCGATTGTGTCCTATTCCCGAGCATTTTGACTGAATATCATGACGCTTACCCTGTCAACACACTCGGTCTACCATCTGTTTGAGTTTTGTTAGTTTTTGCCTGTTACTTTGGTGTGTCTCCTTAAACGATTTATTGAGATTCGAACATCGGTACACTATTGTTACCTTAATCAACGATCGTCGAGAGTGCAGTATATTGTAGTTATTTCAGGAGGAAAGGGAGAGAACTTGACTAGCAGTACATTTTCCAGTTTGATCTAGAAGGTTAACCCAACATTTGTGTAAATTATGTGATTTGACGCACATAGTTTTCTTGTTTCATAAACAATTACATTACTGTTTAGTCAATTAAGATATTTTCAGTCTATGTTCAGACTATTTCTAACCCCGACACATTATGTATGTGCCTGTTCCAAGCCAAGAGCCTGTAATTCAGTGGTTGTCGTTTGTTGCTGTTTATCATATTTGTTTTTCGTTAATTTTTTTGTACTTAAATCAGGCCGTTAGTTTTCTCGTTGAATTAATTTACATTTGTCATTTCGGGACCTTTTATAGCTGACTATTTAATATGAGTTTTGCTCATTGTTAAAGGCCGTACGCTGACCTATAGTTGTTAACTTCTATGTCATTTGGTCTCTTGTGGAGAGTTGCCTCATTGGTAATCATACCACATCTAATTAGTTGTATATTCTGTAGTTGTTATTGACCTGTATACAGCATCATTATCCGGAGTTGTCTGAAAAGCTACTGAAGAGTACTAAATTGACTGCAAATGAATTTTCTGAACAGTACTGAATTTACTGCAGAGGAAAAGTCTAAAAATTAGCCGAAATACAAGACTGAATATTTTATTGTTCACAATTGTCAGATGATGTTAAGATCAAAAAGATCGTTTAAGACTGAAATTCATTTATTAGTGTAATACAGTATGGTCAGCTATAAAAGTCCCCGACATGACTAAATATGGAACACTTTAAACGAAAAAAAAAACAAACCCAACGACCTGATTTATGACAGAACAAGAAACGAGAAACAAATATGACAGACGGCAACTAACGACAACCACTGAATTACAGTTTCATGACTTGGAACAAGAACATATGAAATGTGGTGGGATTAAACATGTTTGAAAGCGCCCAATTCCTCACAATAACTTGTGACAGTAGTGTCACAATAAAAAACAACTGGTTCTTTTGTCTATTTCTATTACGAATAGAATGTCTGATTTTCATCGCTGGTTTAAAAATACCTTAAATACCAACGAGGGTCTCGCACGGGTGTATAATGAACGAGGGTCTCGCACGGGTGTATAATGAACGAGGGTCTCGCACGGGTGTATAATGTTTGATTACCGCCTTGTTTTCCTGTCAATTATTGATTCTGTCCGTCAAATAACTATTCCTTAAGTTCATATTACCTACCAATTTGAATTTAATAATCATTTAAGTTACAGTAAATGTTCAAAAGCATTACATATCGTTGCCGCGTTCTTTATGCGAATGTTTATATTCACGACTTGTATCTGTAATGCAGTGGTTGTCAATATTTGCTGTCTGCCATAAGTATTATTTGTTTACTAGTATTCTTAAAGTATAAATCAGACTGTTTTGCTTTTTTTGATTTGTTACACACGTTGCCATCCCTGAGCTCACTATACTGTATGGAATTTGTTGAAGGCCGTACGTTGATCTGTAGTTGTTTATATTTCTTCATTTAGTCATTGATGTATTGCAGTGTATCGAATGTCATATATTCAGCAAGATCTGCTTACACTTCCGCAGTACATGAGATCACCCAAGTGTTTTTTGGGGGTTGTGTTGCTCAGTCTTTAGCTTTTCCGTGAGAGTAATGTTTTGTGGACTAGTTTCTCGTTTTTTACAAGATAAGACCGTTGGTTTTCCAGTTTGAATGGTTTTACACTAGTAATTTTTGGGGCCCTTGATAGCTTGATGTTCGGTTTGAGCCAAGGCTCCGTGTTGAAGGCCGTACTTTTACCTATAATTGTTTACCTTTTATACATAGTGACTTGGATGGAGAGTTGTCTCATTGGCACTCATACCCCATCTTCTTATATCTATTGGATGGAGAGTTGTCTCATTGGCACTCATACCACATCTTCTTATATCTATTGGATGGAGAGTTGTCTCATTGGCACTCATACCACATCTTCTTATATCTATTGGATGGAGAGTTGTCTCATTGGCACTCATACCACATCTTCTTATATCTATTGGATGGAGAGTTGTCTCATTGGCACTCATACCACATCTTCTTATATCTATTGGATGGAGAGTTGTCTCATTGGCACTTATACCACATCTTCTTATATCTATTGGATGGAGAGTTGTCTCATTGGCACTCATACCACATCTTCTTATATCTATTTGATGCAGAGTTGTCTCATTGGCACTCATACCACATCTTCTTATATCTATTGGATGGAGAGTTGTCTCATTGGCACTCATACCACATCTTCTTATATCTATTGGATGGAGAGTTGTCTCATTGGCACTCATACCACATCTTCTTATATCTATGGATGGAGAGTTGTCTCATTGGCACTCATACCGCATCTTCTTATATATAGTTTGTCTTTTCGTCGTCTTTTGTGTTACTGTTATAGTATGAGAACGAATTAAACTTTTGCAGTTAAAAGAAAGGTTCTCATTTATATGTGTTCACAGTGTATTCAATGGCTGAAATGTATTTGCATGTATACAGTTTTTGATATATATCTGTGAAAGTTTGATGTCCTTAGTCATGTCAAAATACATTTGGCATTATTGAGATGAACTGTGCAGCCAAAAAAAATGGTTTCCAGTAAATAGTTAAATAAACATTCTATCTTCTGCCAGAACAACACATTATGTACCAGTATTCTACATTTCAAAATATGAAACATGAGCTAACACTTGAAGCTAGTATACTTACGTATACTTACTAGACACATTCATAGACATGTAGTCCCCGGAAGCTGCAAAAGTCGAAGGCAAAGTTTCTATAAAATATTAACAAAATAAGATTAGTAAGCATGTATATTTTAAGATATACAAAAAAGGCAGCAATATACATAAAAATGAACCATAAATCCTTAATTTTTGTGATAGTTTTCAATTTGAATAGTACAATACTTAACTTAATTAGTTGCAGATTAATGTCAACGCATCAGGCCTTGTTTCTTTTGAAGTTCATGCAATTACCTCAGTTTTTAATTGTTACCTTGATTTGTCTTGTTAAACGATTTATGATATTTGAACATCGGTTGAAATGCCTTTGATAAGATTTACATTTGAAACATTTAGTTGCTCTGAATCGTATCAGTATATGAACACAACAAAGAATAAGGCTAATTATGTTACATAGTGATACACTCACCCTCATTATATTGAGTTTGATAGCCACTGGTATCACTTTGATGTGCTGTAATTAGATAAAAATTAGGCTTGAATTAAGTGAAATGTGTTACTGCAAAAAAGATGTAGTTAGTTTATCTGGTCTACAAATAGAATAATAGAATATTATCGGGTAATTTAAATAATTCTTATACTAGTATAAGACCTTAAAAATATAAAATCTAATAAGACAACAAATATTTCCTTTTAGGATTTTAGCTAAAACAATGTAACAAAGATTTGTTTTTCGGACATCTTTTGCCCTCTTTCACGTATTTTGTTATAATTTAACTTTTAAATTTAAATTCCTTCATGATTTGAGAAAATGAAATATATTTGTCGCTAAAACACAGGTTATGACATTGGTTGATTCGTTTATCAATGCAAATTCACAAAATGTTCAAATACAGATCGATGAACATTTAATGGCATATACATATATAAGAATCTCAGAATAGAAACCAACTAATTTGTGCAGCGACACTGACAAGAGATATATACCAATACGATAATTTTACATTGCATATATTTTCGGCACAGCAAATGACATCGACAGTGTCGGTCTTTTTTACAATAAGAGTAAAATGTGAATGTAAGCTGATACGATTGTGGTAATTTTGTGTTGAGATTCTTAATTCTTAATATACTAACAAAATTCCCTACTGAACAACTAGAAATAAATATAAAGATTAATGATTGTGTCTATTGGTTGCTGACTCAATGTCATGTACCTCACGATATGTAACATTAATATAGGTAACATAAATAAGTCATTTCAACATTTTATATTTTAATTTACTAAAAAAATTTTCACACCAGTTTTACAGCCAATTAAAATACATAAAAGAAAAATATACCTTGACCAATTCCTGTCCAAAGAGTATGAGGTTCAGAGTCTGTTGTGACTGGACTGCATGTGTCAGAAACATTAAAACTGTCATTGGGGTTCATTGTTGGTATATCAATTGATAATGGTTTCTGCATTTTATTTTTCAATTTCTTTTCAATTTTCATGTCTTTTTTGCCACTAGTTTTCGCATTTGTCGGTAATTCATTAACGTCTGTTAATTGCTGCTTTAAAGCTTGACGATACGTGTTGTAATAATTCGATGTTGAATCTGTTGACTTTTTACAATTTTCACATTTGCCATTTACTGCTGCAATTATGCCATTTCCCTCATGAAAACCAGATTCGTTTGAAATAGACATGACATCTGCCTGTGTCCCGCTTTTAAAATTATGCGATGGATAATGCCATTGAGGTTGACCACCCGGATTATCAGTTATATTTCGACCTTCTGTCTTTCGAATTGTTACATTGTCATCTTGATTCGCAACTTTAATCAAAGGTTCGATGTGTATATGATCTGTGCTGTCTGGTTGTCCTCTCCCTTACAGGAAATAATAGAAAATGTTGTAACATTAAAAGAATGTCAAGACCCACATATTTCTCTAACCTTTGGGAAATAGTTATGATGTATTGTTTGTATTTATTGTCTCTTCAATCTTACATGTTGATAAATTTTATTCTTCAATGTCTGTTCGCTTCTATCAATCAATTAAAATCGGATTAAAAAAATGAGATAGGGAATGCATAAGACAAGAGACAAATTTGCTATTGTATGATGCTTTATAATAGACTAAAACTTGTCTCTGGAATTAAAAAAATGAAGATAACCTTAATACTTTTCCGAAGCAACTTCATGTATTTTATGGTGTTTGGGAATGATAGTCTTTAACGTGTTGCTTAATGATTATTTTTTGTGAACAATTGTTTGTCTTTTGGCCACGTTTTTCTTTGATTATATCGTCCTTTTTTCTCGGATTACGTCTTTAATTGTTTTGTTTGCAAGGTTCAAGATACGGTGCATTAAAAAACTCTTTGTCTTCGTTTACTCAGTGATAAGAAATTATATCACATAATTCTATGCTTGAGATTGCATAACGAAATGTCTTTTGAATGCAAACGAGTTATTGATTTTGAATTTTTGCTTATAATAGATCATAAAAAAACTCATTTACTCAACGTAGACTACAATTATGTTTACAAAATATAATTACTGTTCTATAAATATGTGAAACTATTCGATCAATGTAGGAAGATATTCCAGTGTCATAAAACATTCTATTTGACTTACCATGTGTCCAACAGATCCCTGCAAGAACAAAGCCGGATCTTTTGAAGCAAATCGCTATAGTAACCATAGATAATAATATGATCAGCACGCTAAGGGCAACGATACTGTAAAATATGGTCAATTCCTAAGTTAATAAAATGTTCGTAGAAACAACAACAGGAATAATAAGAAAGTAGATTCCATTAGGGAATAAAAACCATAAGCTGACGGTAGACCAACAACACTGTGGCAAAATAGACGAACAGACCAGAAATTCAATAATGGACTACACTCTTCGGTACATATTTATAATGGACAAATTTTTTATCGTTAAAAATCCTTGCTTTTATTGCAATGGACTATATGTAAAGTAAATTGTAAAAATTGTGTATACTTACAAAATTACCAAAAGATTATTATTTTCTTCCGGTCTATTTGGATTCATCTGAACATCTGTAATGATGATTATATATGTATATGAATGCAAAAATGACAAATAAATTTTAGTGATGTGAAAACAGAAACATCAATTAAAAAAAATTTACGAATAAAACGTTTTAAAACAGTTATAGCTATGAATGATAATTTCTCAACAATATAAACTTCTTATGGAAGTGGAATACATGCAATTGTACTACGTTGCAACTAAAAACGAAAAATGCAATGCATACACATTCCAAGTTGTTGAAACAATTCAAAATAGTTGCTTATATATGTTACAAGCATGCCAGTAATCACGACATATATATTAGAACAGTCATATACACGTACAGACAAAAGTCATATATGAATTTGACTCAACGCAAAATGATTGAATTATACATACGTGCAGGTGATGGTAAAGATATGTAAGTGCTAACTATACGAGCGTTCTGTGTAGTAGGATTGACAATGTGATTACTGAAATGAATCCAACGAGATGAATTGTCAAACTTGACTAAAACAAACCGGAAATGTTTTGTACAATTTATAAAGCAAATGAGAAAATTCTGCAACAGAGTAATATTGGTTGACAATTTCGCGTAAGGTCTTCATCCAGATAGTAATATTTGTTGAATGTTCATATTAAAGATTTCTTAACAGAGTAAGATTGGTGGATCGTTTCCTTTGAAATATTTATCAACAAAGTACAGTTGGTTGACTATTTCATCGATACAGTTATAATGGTTAAGTAAACCACAACACCGTAATTGTAAAGAATCAGTTCGTTGGACGATCCACAAAAGTTGTCGTTAGCATGCTCACTCATTGACGCATACTCCACATTTCTTTTCATTCATATGAATAGAGTTGTGTTGTTTGAAATGCAAAAACGCTAGAAAGTAATGCAAAACATTCGTATAACAAGTGCAATAGTTAAAAACAAATACGAAAGACTACACAGCTATGGAATGTTATGGTCTCCAGACCATGATTTATGTCGGTCAAGTAGATAGATAAAAGATGGGAAAAATTCATTGAAACAGGTTTCAGACGCAGGATAATATCGCACGCACCTACCATATCAAGGAATCCGCGTTAACAATTTTTAGATTATAAGTTTCTATATTACAAACCTTCTTTGCAAATGTCGACAAGGACCACAGCCGTTGTCATTCTTATATGTACCATTTGGACAGGGAATGCATTCTAAAATTTGAGAAAATTTGCATGGAGGTAAAATCCATGATATATAGCTAATACACGTTCATATACAACAATAAATATTTCATGTTTTATGTTTTTTAGGTCATATTCTCCAGACATATTTGGTTTCTGATGCTTTCGAATAATATGTAACAATTTTATGAATCTGCTTTGCCTCATTTACTTACATTTTTTGACGCATTTCCCTGGATCTCAAAAGGACTGATATTTAAAGGGTAACATCAGCTCAGTAGTCAGAACTTCGGTACTGACACGATTTATAACAAACCTTTCTAAAATTTTCCGTTTAAATGTTCCCTCAGGCAAAGTTGACCTTAGTTTTTTAGGTCCTTTTTGGTAGTATAGCTCTTCAACTGTTTAGGTTCTTATACATCCTTTACTTTCAAATATTTGGAATTGAGCGTTCCTGATGAAGGTAAATCCAGCAAAGCGCTGCGGACGCACAGTAAATTCTGAACATTCTAATATGATGACCAGTCGTTTTGCTTAAAATTCACCAAATAAACCAAGTTCAACGATAAGTATACAACTTATTGAATACCTCCGGCTTCGTTTAATGTTGTTCCAGGTTGGCAGCCATCTCTTTTTTCGTCACATAAGCAGGGATCTCCGTAGAAGCATGCTATTGTTTTGCACTTGCAACCATGTAGACTGTCACATAAACCTCTATCAGCATTGTTCCAATTTCGTTTGTTTGTGATATCTGTAAAAAAAAGAACTGAAACTAAAACATGTAATTCTGGTACTCGTGTATTATTTGCGTGTATAGATTTGTATTTTCTTGGCAGAATTATCTTAAATAGTCCTAAAACTAGGTACACGTACAGACTGCTTGTTTCGATTACAAATTCCTTTTCCGCCCCATTACGTTCATCAATAAGAAATGTTCATACGTTCCATCTGGGTGTACTATATTTGTTCTGTTATATTTCTACATTCCTTAAAGATCTTGAATGTTGTTTAGCGAGTCCATCCCGTTCTTTAAAATTGCCAGATGTAGATACGATAATGTGAGTCAATTGTAATATATGATCTTTCATGATGTTAAAAAAATAATTTTAAACTGATAGTTCGCCCATTTCATTTGTAAAATGTGGATAGTTAGGCCTTTGAAAACGGAATTGAAAGTCAACGTAATTTGGCTTTATGAGGAGAAATGCGAATATCAGTTGTCATCAGTAATATGAACAATGAAGTAACATATCTGATAAAATAGTATGCCCCACGATGGTATTTCATTTCACCTGTATAAAAATGCAATGTTTAGAGATCAAAAGATTCTTACATACAAACTTGCTCACATTAGTATATTAAATCGTTAAATCAAAAGTCATATCATGCCTAATTATGCTGATTATAAATGTACAAATCACGGGGTCTTCTAACTGATTATCACATTTTAATATCTTTTATGTATATAAACTTCTTAAAAAATATTGCTGGTTTGGTTTTCATGGCAACATTCATAAAAAAGTTCGATAATCCACGTTACAGATCGGTAAAATGGACGGGTATACAACATATAGTTTAAGAAATTGAAACAAATTACCACAGATAACATACATCGAAAACAGTGTTTGACACGGTAAAATTGCAACATCCAGAATGATCAGTTTGTTCTCAAGGACATCTGGCAGGTGTTAATCATATTATATCCTGCTATCTATGATGAGTCTATATGCAGATAACAAAATATGAAGGGACATGATTTATAAACTTCGGACGTTTTCGTTGAAATTTTTTATTTTATAAGCTAACACTAAAATATAAGAGATATACACGGAAGTTTTCAATTTTCATGATTTGTTTTTAAATACTTTTACCGGATGCAAAGTAGCAATACAAATTTTACTCAAGTTAATCTTTCATAAAACTTATGATGTCGACTAATTCTTGAGTGATTATACCAACCCACATTAGGTCTAGCCTTAATATTTAGTCTTCGTTAACAATTATTGAAAAATAACCTTGCTGTATTTCAGGAGTTGATGTCGATATCAAATATTATAAATGAATCTCCAATAATCAGTCAACACGACGGTTTCTGGATTTTTAAATTTGTAATTTATGATTATACCTTGCGCTAGACAATCATTTTCAGGTCTGAAACATGCAGTATCACTTGTACTGCCCTTCACTGAAGATGATATGAGATCTGGCTGGACCATTCCATCAACACAAGGTCTACATAAATCACGAGTAGAGTTCACTGTACATGGTTGTATTTCATTTTCTATAAATAAGAAAAACATTGAATTTATCATCTTGATATCGTTTCATTTTCAGAAAGAAAAGTAAAACAGTAACTGTCTTTATTTATTACCTCTTTTTTCTTCATATTTACACAAAAAATGGAAAGGGAAGAAAGAGAGAGTAAGATACGGTATGATGAATAAATAAGTCTTACTGACTTGCCTAGTCTTCCGGAGCTTGGTTTTTGGGGGTTTGTGTTGCTCAGTTTTAGTTTTCTTTGTAGTGTTTAAGTGTAGTTGATTGTCTTTTGGTGGTTTTTTGCCATGGCATTGTCAGTTCGTTTCCGATTTCTGAGTTTTATTACCACTTTGGTATCATTTGCCTATTTTGTTATCATTACAATGCGATAAAAAATTATAAAACAATATACTGACTCTTTGAATGTGTTTTACACATGCACTGCATATATCACGTACCTGGCTCACAATCATAGTAAGGAAAACAATATCTGTTAAGCTGTTTGTAATATATATGGCTCATCGAAACCTTGAACAAAAGAAACAAAAGCTTTCATACATTAACGATTAAATATATCTGGCAAATTCTAAATGACATTTCATCGTCTACAATGCGTCTATAATACCAAAAGAACATTTTTACGAAGCATGGCTCACAAGGGAGACGGATTTATATAAGTTCTTTTTGTTTCAGAATCCCTGTATTTCTTTTGGATAATTGTAATTTGTGCACTTATGAAAAATAAAATATTGTTTGAACTAAGCATGGTTCGAAATGAAGAGCATATAGTTATATTGTAAAGGTTGTTATTGCAAATGGTTTATGCCTGATACGAACAAGCATTTATTTTGCGTTTATTTGCAAATGTAATTTTTACGCACTTTTGATGCCAAAGTCTGTGAAAGTGCTTAACCATGGACAGAGCTACACGTTGAAATCAATTGTAGCAATCACTACTTGTGTCAAAACTGAAGGATATTCTTATTCAAAATGTAAACACAAGAATTCTTTTTCTTGGAAAATATCTAACAGATGTTAAAGACTTTGATTACACTTTTACTTTCATTTTATGTGTTCAACTGAACCAATTACAATAGAACGTTTGAAGAAAACAATATTGTTCATTAATCATTTTACAAATCGATCATATACAGCGCATGTTTTTGATATTCCTGCATGCCTTTACGTAAAATCGGTTGACATAAAAAGACAACTCGAACAAAAGTAAAAACCGTATCGAAAAGAAATCTGAAATTGATTATTATCAATAACAAGAAAGATCAACGATCTAGGACGTACATATTCGCAGACTAAACAACATCAATGAGAAATTGGATCAGACGCCGTTGCATTTTTACATTTAATATGAATAATACGAACTTAATAAATTCCAGAATATGTAAACAATTTTGATTAAAAATAATGTTTTAGGGTTTTCTGTAAGAAATTGTCCATGTCTATTTAAGACTAACTTCCTTGCAGATAATATATACACCTCAGACAAGTTATTTCTTTTCCGCTTTGGTAAAAAAAATTTCTATTCAAATGAACCAAACCGTTTCCATAAAACAAAAGCATCTACAGCATTTGCATGAGTTTAGACTTTGATGAGAAAATGAAAAATAATATATAAGGAATTGAATAAACAAGCGATGAAGGTAGACTGTACATTCAAAATAGACTGAGACCTGTTGTCGACATTGTTTTCATTGTCTATAGTATTCGTCACGTGACTCCAAAGTCTAATGAGCTAAATTGAAAAACCAGTTCGACAATAACAAAAAATCGTGAGCTACACCGCATTAATGAATTATGTAGAAAGTTGATGAACAAAATCATTGTTATGATCAATCAATTCTTGATATTATATTGAGAGATTCAAACTTATATTTATGAAATAACTACATTTAGAAATATGATTGAAGTTAACGCTCATGTGAAAGGGACGTACAAGTTGTATCTAGAATTCCTGATATGTGATGGGGTTCCTTATCTAAAATTTACCACCGATCTTTGCTGTCCCTCACCAAAAATAGATAAAAAAAAAAAAACACCACTTGAAATGCTGTTGTACATTCCTGATAGACTCATTTAGATTGTCACGATACTCTTTAGATTTTCAGATAATACGACTATGCTTCTGGAATCATGAAAGGACATTTACTAAGATTAAGATTAAGGAATTATATTGGGTTCATACCTCAGTAATTGACTTTAGCAGCCAGTTAGGTCCAATTCTATTAAATTAAGAAAAAAAATTAAGGGAAAATAACAAAAATACCGAGCTCCGAAGAAAATTTAAAACGGAAAGTCCTTAATCAAATGGCAAAATCAAAAGCTCAAACACATCAAAAGAATGGATAACAACTGTCACATTCCTGACTTGATACAGGCATTTTCTTATGTAAAAAATGGTGGATTAAACCTGGTTTTATAGCTAGCTAAACATCTCACTTGTATGACAGTCTCATGAAATTTCATTATATTGACAACGATGTGTGAACAAAACAAACAGACATAATAGGAAAAAAAAGTCAAAAATAGGGATACCGCAGTCAACATTGTGTTATAATCTTATTCACTATAAAAACATCGCTGATATATTTTAGTCTGGTAAGACAATGATAGACTTCATTAAGGTCCGTATACATGCGATCTTTTATTTCAAGTTTGACACGGGTTGCGTATGTGCTCAGCATGTTCATTAGTTAAAAATTTAGAGAATGTCAAAATTGAAAAGGGAAACAAGGTAGACTTGTTGAAAAAAAACATTTCCTCGACTGATTCGGTGAAAAATATTGATAATAAGACTTACAAAAAGTCATTGTATTATTGTACCTGCTTGCCTGTCTATTTAATTTCAAAATTGTATATCTATTGGGTCTAATGACTATCAAGAATCTTTGGATTTCTAATTGATAGTTTAAAGGACACATGGAAAGATAAATGTCGTCTAGTCATGAAATATGTACACAATACTGATACAATTTTTGACTTGTTTATTGTTTCCGATGGAATATTTGCAATTCTGGAAAGTATTTCAGTATGATATGAATCAATTTGAAAATTTAAGACGATGGTTATAAGTATGGCAACTAATATCCCCTTTAGAACTTATCACTTTATGTGTCATGCTTGAAATAGCATCATATTGTTTTCAATTTTTGGAAGAAAATGAAAGTCCCATGTTATAGAGGTTCATGGAAGGAAACTTATATGAAGTAATTTGGAACATGCAGGGTCACCTCTATAAAAACAATAAGTGAATCCGACGAGAGGTTTAAAAGAAACCGAGTAATGTTCTTCTTATTGGCCAATTTTCTTAATAAAACAAACAAACAAGAACAACAAAGGGTACATTGGCATCTTATAAAATAAAATAAATTCTAATAAAGTTAGAACAACGGAAGGACACTTCACTGCGTACAATTTCAACGTTAAGATTGACGTTATAATAGCTGACTATTCTGTTTGGAGTAAAACCTGAAAATCGAACTCTGTAGTAATGACAGCTTGTTCTGTTTCAAGGAAAGACAAATGAGTAATACTACTATATGTGTACATATATGATCTAAACTGTTCAATAAAATCTTGCGAAGATTCCTTGTCGTTTTGTTATCTGAAATTGGTGTTATACACATTACGATACCATATTATTAACGAAAAGCTCTTATCAAAAAAATAAAAATAACCAAGTTGCACGATGCTTAAATAGTTTATAATGGTGTGAATTTTATTTGTCTAATGTTCACTATTTGATTGATTCACGTTATTTATGCTGACATCAACATTGATATGAATTACTGGATTGTGTAGAAATTTTAAATTGATCTTAAAATGAGTGTAGTATGTAAGTTAAAAAGCACAAAGTAAATAGCTTGTTAATTTTCTTAACAGACTATAAAAAGTATGTCAAATTATGATTATTAGATAATTAAATGAAGTAGACAAATATTCACTCTTAGTGAAACTACAATGCTAATGGGACGTAGTTTTGTAAAGTATACCCCTGAAGATCAGATTGAGTACAAGTTTTCAATAACAACAAGGAAACGTAAACTACACCAATTTTCAATTCTTCCTTTCTAATAAAAAATAATAAAAAACAAATTATTCGTTATTCATGTAATTATACACTTTATCTTGTAACAAGTTGTCAAGTCATATTTTAGAAGGTTTATAAAGGGTAGCTTATATGAATTAATTTGGAACATACAGGGGTCACCCCTTTGAAGACAGTAAGTGAATCCGGTCAGGGGTCACAGAAAAACGAGTTATATTCTTCTCATTGGACGATTTTCTTTATAAAAAAAAACAAACAAGACAAACAAAGGGTACATTGGCATCTGATCAAAAATAGAACATTCTAATAAACTTAAAATAATGGTTGGTATGTTTTGAATCTTTACAAACTACAATAAGTATGTTAAATGTTGTTTATTGGATAGTTTTATTAAGTAGATATATATTCACACTTAGTAAAATTACAATGCTAATGGGACGTAGTTTTGTATACTTCACACCAGAAGATCAGATTAAGAACAAGTGTTCAGTGACAATGAGGAAACGTAAACTTTATCAATTGTCAATTCTTCCTTTTCGATAGAACAAAAATTGTAATCGTACATTTTATCTATTAACAAGTTGTCAAGTCATATGTTTTAGAGATTTATAGAGGACGCCTTATATGAATTAATGTGGAACATACAAGAGTCATCCCTATGAAGATCATAAGGCAATCCTACCATGGGTTTAAAGGAAAAAGAAGAACATTGTTGTAATTGGCCGATTTTCTTTACAAAAATAAAATAAACGAACAAAACCAAAAAGGGTACATTGACATTTAATACATATAGTAAATTCTCATAAAGCAAACACAATTGAAGAACACTATACTGCATACATATTTAACGTTATAATGGACCGGATACAAGCTGGCTAAACTCGGAAGACTCCTCTGTTTGGGGGAAAGCCTGTAGGACGGAGTCGCACTCTCTGATAATGACAACCCTTTCTGTTTAAGGAAAGACGAATGAATTTTGATCCTAGTATATTTGTATATATATGATATAAACTGTTCAATAAAAACGTACTAAGAGCTCCTTGCAATTGTTTTTTTTTTATCATAAATAAATGTTCTAAACATTACAATACCATATTATCATTAAATAGCTTGATCTCATTGATTCACATGATTTAATCTTTTGTCAGTTTACATGATTTTTTAAATGATTGAATTTTGTAGAAAGTGAAATGGGTGTATACTGTTAGTTAAACAATACAAAGTAAATAGCATGTTATTTTCTTATTTTATTCTTAACAAACTTCAATAAGTATGTAAGATATTAATTAACAGATAGCTGATATAAGTAGATATATATATATACTTTCTTCGCAAAATGGCTGTTCCAAGTCAGAACTTTGTAAGCTGTGACCGTTTGTTCCGTTTCACCTCAAAAGAGCTTATACATGAAACTCACGTGAACATTTTCATGTGAATTTCACGTGAATTGAGATTCACATGAATCTGACTTTAAATTTTTCACTTGAACTTTACAAAAACAAAATTGGTATTTTGCATGATTTTAATTTAATTTGAAAATTTAGATGTTATTTGAATTACTTTATTTTAAAAATTCACTTGAATTTCACGTGAAAAAAATTCATGTGAGTTTCACATATGATTCACGTGAAACTCACATGAACTGATTTCACGTGAGTTTTACGTATAAGCTCGTTTGAGGTGAAATTCACGTGAGATTCACATGAATTTGAATTCACGTGACATTGATTTGAGTGAAATTTCCCTGTGTACCTGATCAGATTGAGTATAAGTTGTCAGTAACAATGATGAAACAAAAGACTTAAACTAAAACTATTTTCAATTGTTTTTGCGATAAAACAAAAAAATCATCAAAATATTCGTGATCTTATATTCTATCTTAATCAGATTATTATCTTTCATCCAATGTTATAAGATAATGGAGACAGAAAGAAGAAAAAATCAAATTATAATCCTCTTTCAGATCTTCATTTGTCATTACTTTTCCATTTAAACTAATGTTTATAGTATTTGGAAGACCTTTCGGAATTATGGGTCCTCAATGTTATTCAACTTTGTAATTTATTTGGCCTTTTCACAGTTTGTTATTCGAGCATCGCTATTGATGCTTTTGTAAACAAAACACTCGTTGTGTACATAATGTTTAGCCTGGCAATTATGATGAGTATATAATTATACAGATTATATTAGATAAGGCTATATATGCCGTCTTACTCAAACGACCTAAATAAATGTTAAGTTTGTTAACAGAAAGGCCGTGTTAACACACCGTATAATTCAGTGAAAATAACATTGATTTCAGACAATTTAAATATTATGAACAGAAAATTATGCCAAAATAAAATATTTCGCATACAGACCGGCATTAAACGGTGTAATACTTGTATACAATTTGTGTTCCAATGAAGCTCATCAGAGAAATAAGACTTAACATGTAACATAGGAATGTGTCAACTGTTTCATCAAGATATGTGTCTATAAATACTCACATGGTATATGGCAAAGACAAAAACAAGAACACCAAGCATGATTATATCGACCTACAAAATAACAAAAATATGCAGACGTGTGTAGGACGTAAATGAGACAGTAACCAAGATCACAAAAAATCCAAAACAAACATAAACACACAGACTCACACACGCACAGAAAAATATAATATTCGGGTTTTGTTTTTACTCTTTCATGATCAAATATAAAAATACAAAATAAAATTCGAATTTCTCAGACCGAACTTAAGTGGGCACTGTTTACACCTTAAGTTTTTTTTTATGTTAGATATATAAAATATATGGAAACACTAGAAAAAAAAATCCAAACATTTTCGTATATTTCGAGCACTACTGATGAGAAATTCATTTTAGAAGTGAAGAATTGCTGAATCAAAGTAAATATTGTTACCAGTACTTTTGCGTTGAATTTCAACCCCTAAATTTAAGAAAATTTATAACTTAGAAAATTATGAACATGTACTATGTCCGTAGGGTCAGTATCAAAACATTGGAGTTACTTTTCCCTTGATGATTCAAATCTGTACAAATGTACAAATATATACAAATTATATTTATAGAATTTAAATTAAAATCGTTAACTGCAGGAAGATGAAACAAGCAATGTAGTAATGTTCCTTCATATTTTTGACATTTTTACCTATTATGTCTGTTTGTTTTGTTCAACCATTGTTGTCAATATAATGGAATTGTATGAGACTGTCATACAAGTGAGAGTTTTAGCTAGCTATAAAACCAGGTTTAATCCACCATTTTCTATATAAGGAAACACTTATATTATTTATTCATATAATAAAAGAATGTTAAACAGTGAGATATTCAGCTTTTAAAACTGATTTTCATTTTAAATTAAATACATAATTACTTAATGATTTATATTATATTAACACCATATTTCCCTGCTATAAAAAAATACATACACCTACCTCCTAATGAATATTATACAGATGCATTTGGACAATAATGTCCGGCACTTCACCTACATGTAATACTGATACCATACGTGGGTAGATTTGTATGTACTGTCGAGGAACTATTTAGAAAAATCCCCTTACACAGTCACTACTGTATTTTCACATCATTAGTGTTGTTTAGTTAAAGCTGTTTTAACATCTTTCTTTACCTGTAATTAAGTGACAACCTTTTTGATTAAACCATTTTGAAGTTGAGATTAACACATGTTGTCTAATTTCTTCTCTTGTTTAAAGACGAATATAAATTCTATTATTAAAATGTAACCGAATATTCAAATGCAAGTTCGCCCATTGGGGGTTGCTGCTTACAAGGAAGCTATTGAACCAAGGGTTAACGGACGCCTGGACGAGTTTGCGGACCTTCATGGGATATATGAGTCACATAAAACCATGGATATGTTCGAACAACAATCCCATCTTCTTTTGAACGATTGTGACATCACCGAATGAGACTCATCACCCGATTTTTACTCTCCATGAGAAACTAGACGGATGTAACTAGTGGATGTGGGATATACTTACCCCCGATGCATTTGGGATAACCCCATTCTTTTGGTGGGATTCGTGTTGCTGAGTCTTATGTTTTTTATATAGCGTTTGTGTACTTGTTTCTCTTTTCGTCGTCCTTTGTGTTTTGTCATATATTGGGTTGTCAATTTATCAGGACTATTTGAATATCATCTTTGTATCATCGGCCTTTTTTTAAAAATAAATATGAAGTATTTATAAGATCTCGTCTACATTTTTTGCAAATAATATATATAGGTGTTGTTCAGTCTTTTTTTTTTTGTAATTTCTTTATTGTAAAACTTAACTTATGAGGTAGAATTACTCCGAATATTTAATTTCATACTGTTCATTTACACAATTGTATTCAGTAACAAAGGAAAGACGATGATCTATATTTCATTATTAATAAAAAAAAAGTATTTCAAACGCAATCACGGTACATTATTTTCTTAAGATTCTGTCTTCAAATTTTCATTCTAATCAATCGTTTGTCGCTTTCTCTATACAACCTTTATGAAACAAGGAAAGTAATGTATAAAGGCGTATTGAAAAATACTTTTTATGATATTTTCTATTTCAAAACGTTTTGAAAAAATGGAAAACACCAACGTTATAGTTCATGTACCCCTATATACCTCTTTGGTCAGAATTGATGCAAAAATATGTACAATTGTCTTTTATGTTTACATTTTACGAAACACTTAACACATGTGATTAACCCCCATGACCACTCATGGACCATGATTATACAACGATCTTTATTCATGAACTTATATAACGCCAAACGAAAAAATATATACGTAGTGTTCAAATTGCACCAGTGCGTTTAATATCAATAAGAAGATGTGATATGAGTGCCAATGTGACAACTCTCCATCCAAGTCACAATGTATAAAAAGTTAACAATTATAGGTCAAAGTACGGCCTCCTAGACAGAGCTTGGCTCACACCGAGCAACAAGCTATACAGGGCCCGAAAATGACTAGTGTAAAACAATTCAAACAGGAAAACCAATCTAATATATATAAAAAAGGAGAAACGATAACCACCTATGAACCACACCAACAAACGACAACCACTGAACAACAGGTTCCTATCTGTTTTGGCCGCTCATATTATTAAAATTGTTTATATGAAGACCTTTCAAAATTAAAGTTTTCCAGATAACTGATCATTTCCTCTTTAGTGTAACATCTGCTTTTCAGAGCTGGAATAATAAAAATATAATTAAAATCTCACGATTTTAAAACTTTACAAATGACATGCTAAAGTCGACAGTGTAGTACTTATTTAAATTATTATTTCAAATGAAAAGGAAAAAACCTTGCTTAACAGTACATTATTATCGGTTTGGTCTACAAGGTCAACTTAACACTGATGGATATTTTTATTGGATTTCGATGTGTTTATGTGAAAGCAAATTTGCAACACATCGGTTTCTTCTTACTTCAATAATCACTTGCATATCTCCCCATTGTTTATTTGCATTCTTAAGAATATATTTTGCATTGTCCTTTTGCCACAGTTGCATGACCATTACTCACCTTTGTAGCAAGTGATTTAAAACTCATGTGTTTCCGGATGAGAACTTAAGTATTCCTTGTTTGCATGGAAAGCAACTTAGATAGTTAAAGATATAGGATAAGGGAAGAGGTCTAATGAATTATGGGTAAATAGGTCGAAAATGGGAAAAGGTCACTGTAACGTAAAAAAACTTGTTTGTGGAATACATGTTAACGGATTGTAGCTTGAGTTTCACTTGCTATTTAAGAACGAAACTTATGCAGATGGAAGATATAAGGAAGTTGAAGACTCCTCTAAATGTTTGGATCAACATGTCAAAAGTCAAGTCAGTCTTATCAGGAATATATCGTAGTTTTTGGCAAAACCTTCTCAATGCTATGCAACTTCGTATCTTATTTGACCTTTTACCATATTTTAATGCGGGCGTCACTGATGGGACTTTTGTAGATACTAAATTATCAAAAAATATGATTTCCGGATGGTATCCCACTATGAATTGTAACACGGCGAATTAATTGCAAAACTAGTACATGATTATTTTGTCTTTCCAGACAAACTAATATCTTGAATAACTGAAATAAAAATGTTTTTCTCAATGAATGCGCAGTTCGGGAGCCTTCAGAAGCAACATGCGAACGTTTTAAAAGAGAAACGAACGATACCAGAGGGACATTCACACTCATAAGTCTAAAATAAACTGACAACGTCATGGCTGAGAAGACCAACAGACAAACAATAGTACACAAAACACAGCATAGAACACTAAAGAATGAGCAACACGAACCCGAACTGGGGGTGATCTCAGGTGCTCCGGAAGGGTAAGCAGATCCTGCTCCCCATGTGGCATCCGTCCCGACTTTGCTCATGTTAATACAAACCTGGTAATAAGTCTAATTCGGTAGGTCACATTCGGGAAAAAGGAACGTGGTTGTAGATACGACATTAGGAACATATCCGCTATCATCCGTGAAACGGATATTCCATAGCAGTCTACCAACTCGTCATGGTGTCCGTAAAACTTACGAAGGGATGATTTCAACTTCACCACTTGGAATTATTGGTTTAATAGATTCCCTGCGAGCAACAACCCTCTATCAAGGAAATCATGATAGGAAATACAAGCCCTGGAATATCGTATCAACTGGGAGATATATACTTTCAAGTAAGTAGGTGTCGTTTGCACTGTCTGTCATAATTGTTATTCATGTATTGTTTAAGTATAGTTTAGAAATGTTTTCATCCTTGAGTATACACTATGTGTTTAGTTGAAGTCTCTTTAATGAGATGAAGATGTTCATTACGTATACCTGTCGCTTGTTTGTTGGTGGATAGTATAATTACATTGATAGTAGCGCAGTTTCCATAGTAATCACTAAGTATTATCTTGTTGAACAATTTGTCATAAATGTTTTCAATGTATTGATTTAGTACAAATTTGATTTTTTCTACATTTTGTCATCCAAGAGCTTTACCTGACGAGTTTTTTGAAGGCGTTGACTTGTAATGGTTCATAACTTTCCGTGTGATGTTTGATAAATAGCTGTCTAATAGACATTCTTGGCACTCTTTATAAATGTATGCAAAAGGACTGTTATTGTGAAACTGCCTTTTCTATAGGTGGCGTGAATCAGATGGGGATACTTAAAAATTCCAAAGATCTTTTAGAGTACATACAATCTAAGACTCTTTCATCTTGCAACAGTAGTAAAACATTTGACTTTTCTACACTTTACACAAGTATTCCCCATTCCAAACTAAAAGACAAATTGAAAGAGATAGTATTGCTTTGTTTCATAGAAAAGAATTGCCAACGTAGATACACGTATCTTGTCTTAGGGAGGGATAAATCCTACTTTGTAAAAAATCATCCTGATTCTAACAATTTTTTTTTCTGAAACTGACATTATCAAGATGCTTGATTTCTTTACTGACAACATATTTGTTACGTTTGGAGGACGTGTATTTCAACAAACTATCGGCAACCCATGGGAACCAACTGTGCCCCTCTTCTTGCCGACTTGATCCTTTGTTCTTATGAGGCTGACTTCATACAGGAACTTCTTAGGAAGAAAGAAAAGAAGCTAGCAGTATCCTTTAACTTTACTTTCCGCTATATAAATGATGTTCTCTCACTAAATAATTCAAAATTTGGTGACTATGTTGAACGCATCTATCCCATCGAACTAGAGAAAAAGGATACAACAGATACAGTTTAGACTGCCTCATATCTTGACTTACATCTAGAAATTGACAATGAGGGTCGGTTGAAAACAAAACTTTACGACAAAAGAGATGATTTCAGCTTCCCAATTTTGAACTTTCCATTTCTATGAAGAACATTCCCGCAGCGCCTGCATACGGAGTATATATTTCCCAATTGATACGATCATCCCGGGCTTGTATTTCCTATCATGATTTCCTTGATAGAGGATTGCTGCTCACAAGGAAGCTATTAAACCAAGAATTCCAAATGGTGAAGTTGAAATCATCCCTTCGTAAATTTTACGGACGCCATCACAAGTTGGTTGACCGTTATGGAATATCCGTTTCACAGATGATAGCGGATATGTTTAATGTCGTAACTACAATCCTGTTCCTTTTTCACTAATGTGACCTACAATATAAGACTATTTACGGGGTTTGTACTAACATGATCAACACGACGGGTGCCACATGTGGAGCAGGATCTGCTTACCCTTCGGGAGCACCTGAGATCACCTCCAGTTTTTAGTGGGGTTCATGTTGCTTAGTTTTAAGTTTTCTATGTTGTGTTTTGTGTACTATTGTTTGTCTGTTTTTCTTTGTCTTTTTTAGCCATGTTGTCAGTTTATTTTCGATTTATGAGTTTGAATGTCCCTCTGGTATCTTTCGCCTATCTCTTGCATACTTGTATGATCTTTTGGATAGTAGTTTATAATTTCTTTAAGTTGCACTTTGTAAATACAACTGTTTCACAAACTTCGCCTCTTTTTGGGTATATAATATTCATAGATATTTTGTTTTGTTTACCTAATGGTTACCGGATATGATCTCTATGTTTCATCTCGTAGAGACATAACTTGGGAATGTTACCAGTATAAATACACATGGCTAGCAGCTGAATGGAGTTCAGGAAGACCC